GGCGCACGGATGAGAGGTGAGGAGGTGAGGGGTCCCCTCCTCACCTCTCACCTGTGCGCCCGCCGAGTCGAGGATAGGCAAACCCGCAACACGGCGGCGCGTGCTCTGAATCACCCGGTACATACCAGTACATATCTTAATTTATTTGAGAAAGACTGACGAGTTTCTCGGAAACTCTTTTCTATATTGTAAATTTTGTTGCGTGTTATCTGCATTGCAGACAAATGTTTTGTCTAGCATCTGCACGTCTTTTTTTTTATTTTGCGTTGGTAAAATGTGCTGTTGCATCAAAAACTTTTCTAAAGGGAAGGGTGCTTCTTTGACTTTTCCTTCCGAGGCACACGAGTGATAGTGCATGCACACCTTTCCTCACCGCCCAATCCCTTGCCCCTTTCTGTTTTCACATATCCATTTCATTACACGTCATTTCTGGGCGGGTAGCAGACTGCTGTGGGGGTTGATGCTGTGCGCAGAGGCTGTTGTTCATGGCGGGGTGCGGTGGTAGTGACGCGCACCTATGTCAAAGAAAACGCATATTGCGTTTAGAATTTGTCTTTCTAGCTGTAAGATAAAATAAATAACGATGGCTGTACACGCGGACTTCACGCGTATTTTTGTAGAAAATGTAGACTAGTTAGACTTTTTTGTAAATGCTTGTTGTTCTGTTTAATTTTTATTGTTTTTTGTTTCTTGTGATTATGAATTTGTAAAGTACGGGTTAAACGTTTCGCTTACTTACTGCCTTGCTGTTGTAATGCATTCAGATCATTTAGTTTGCTGGTATGATTTACTTAATTCCTATGTGATGGACCGTTGCTTCTACCGTCGCTACTTAATTTTTTCAAACATAAATATGCGCCAGCTTTGTCTTGTGTACCGGTCTCCATTTTTTATTAGAATAAAACTGCTTTTATAACGTGCTTGCTGGAGTCATATACCTTTTTTATACATTCCACCCCGCCGTGCCTTGCATGCACAGCCTCACAGTCTGCTGGGAACACTCACTATGTAAAGTCTGCTTTAAACCGATATTTGAAAGTCACCTGATCATCATCATCATCACTGAATATATCAAACATAACAGTCAGTAGCGACAAAAAATTGATGCACAATTGGCAATTTCTTTTTTCCACACAAAAGTGTTTTCATTAAAAACAAACAAAGATGTAGCATCAACACTGCATGTCAGCTTGGTTGCTTTGTAAAAATGTGGTTTTAATATTTCTGATGCTGTCAAAAATGCCTCGGAATATAAGTTCAACCAATTTTATTTTCATTTTTTTTTTTTTTGTCTCTACTGGCTTAGCCCACCCCTGCCCGACGCAAAATTTTCTGTATGCTATTAGGTTGTTTTTAGTTTGTCATGACGAACAGAAACGTACTAGTAGCGACCTTCTGCTAGCAGGTCGCTGTATGTTCGTCAAGGTGCGTCAAAAGTTCGCATATGTATCACTTTGCACCATCTGCCAAACTGAAAGCGAACATAGTTCGTTTTCCTGGGGTATGCTGCCAGTGCGCTGAGTGTTCGCTTGCAGTAC